ATTTCAAATTAAAAGACTTTCAAAAATGTCAATTTTTATTGTCCCCCCTAAGTTGCCGTGCCCATTGCTGAGAAACTCTTTGTTTCCAAAGACTGCTACCACGTCTGGGTGACAGAGGGACACCTCTAGCACAGGACCAGAAAGTGGCAACCAGATCTGATGTGTAATTTCAAATTAAAAGACTTTCAAAAATGTCAATTTTTATTGTCCCCCCTAAGTTGCCGTGCCCATTGCTGAGAAACTCTTTGTTTCCAAAGACTGCTACCACGTCTGGGTGACAGAGGGACATCTCTAGCACAGGACCAGAAAGTTACAACCAGATCTGATGTGTAATTTCAAAATAAAACACTATCAAAATGATAAGTTCTTACTTTGGTTTAAAATATGTTTTACCAATTGCAGTGAGGAGTTGACAGGGATATAGTACATCAGCATTCGTCAAATGACGTCACACGAAAAGTGACAGGTGCCCTGCCCCTTTAGGGTGAGACTTCCGAATATGGTCAACTTTCTCTCTCTCTCTCTCTCTCTCTCTCTCTCTCTCTCTCTCTCTCTCTCTCTCAGTCTGTCTGTGCTTGACCCTCGAAACATTCAGAGCAAAAAGTTCTTTTGAGTTTCAAAAACTGTGTTTTTTGATGAAGAAGAAGAATGCCTTTGATCGGACTCGATAAATATACAGAAAATGGTGAGAATGATCTTTTATTGAATTTTAAAAAAAGTTGTCTAGTTCCAAAAAAGGTATTTTTTTCTCTAGAATGGGATGATTTAAATTTGCCAGATGAACTACGTAAGATTTACACTCTCTGTGCGTGAATTATTTTTATTTGTATTGTGTTTAATTTATTTATTTTATAAAAATGCAGTAACTTTCCAAGGGGAGGGGTTTCAGTCAGACCCGGGTACGAGTCCTGTTCAGAATCTACGGAGCTCTGAAGATCCAGGTAGGTTGTGTAAGATTGTATAAATTATCTGTGTATATATATTATTTTTATTGATTAAGGTTTTAATTATTATTTTTCTTTTTATAAAAAAATCAAAAGCAGCTTTCCATGTGGTTCAGCCCGATCCGTTCCCCGCCACGACACCTGACCCGACCGATCCGAACCGTCCGTTACCTACACAGACAGAAGCGGTCCGACCGAATCCTAATCAGGCCTGCAGAGTACCGACTCTCCGTGTGAGAAGGAGCAGGATCGAGAGGGCTCTCCGACGCAGAACGGGCCCGCGCGGGTATCTGTCAAGAAGAAGTGAGTATATTTTATATTTTTCAACACTGACACGCATGCGTTTTTTAAAGTTATTTATTATTTTTTATTTATTTTTAGATCATTCGTCCACCGTCGATGAATTGAGGAGTCACTGCCTTCAGACCATCCTACATTTAACTGAACTCTGCATAAGATTGTTTGAGGAAGAAAATAGCTGAAAAAATGTCTAGTTTGTCAAATCATACTGATCACGCTGAAATAAATTATTTTCACGAGTTAGAACAGGCTTTACAAAATCTTATTCAACAGAACTCTCCGTCAACCTCAGAAGCTAATGACATTTCTGTTCTGAGTCAATCGTTACAAAATGTTTTAAACAACGCTGAGCAGAATTCACCCCCCGGTTCGCCAAATCAGACAGAAACTCTAATACAAGCATTACGTGACGAAATTGTGGGACAACAACAGTATGATCACGACCGCTTCGAAACTCTTCAAATTCGTAGCACAAATCTGGACCAGACTCCAATCGGTTTACTTGTTAATGCATTAAATAATTTGTTATCTGAACTTAGAAATGCTGCCGCTTCTGCTGCAGGTGCTGATGCCGCTGAAAGCGTTCAAAATATCACACCCGACACGAGGCAATCAACGCACCCTGATTTATTTAGTATTTTAGATGATGCGTTATTAGCGTTACGAATCGCGCGCTCCCCAGAACAAACCGTGAACAAGACCCGGGTATCCATCCGCAACCCCACGATCCTTCCCCGCGCCCTGTCTCCTCTCCAACTATGGAGGCTGCTTCATCAAACTCGGTTCCTCACAGCCACAGCGCAATCCAGTACGGTGCGGGGATTCACGCTCCTTCACCTCCCTCCTCTCCAGCTCCAGGACCTTCAACCGGTCCAGATCAAAATGAAATATCTCGCGAAAGATTTAATAATTACGAAATCACGAGATGACTCTTCATTCCACCGTCCGACGAGCCTTCGAGTCTGGCCGATTTCTACACCCAAGTGATGAACATTTTGTCAGACTTGGCTGGCAGAGGCGCATCATTAACGGATGGCTACTTAAAAATGTTTTAATTTTACCAGACTCGATATCCAAACTAGTTTGATCTCTCACAGCAGATTGCAATCTCTGAAT